AGAGTGAGTGTAGCAAACAAGCTGTATTTCTGCCCATCCTGAACAAATAAGAAGTTTATTGTGATGTCTGAAAGCAATTTATGTTTGGGTTTATTTATTTTCCTTTGAAGAAGCAGGAAACAAGACTGGGAAAGTCTAGTTGACAAAAGTTCATTAGTGAGTTGACAGAAGTACAAAGATCTACTTTAGATTTCATGCACTCAAGACAGCCAAGAGGAATCAAACAGCTGTAACATCTATCCAAGAAAAAATTAAGAGGACTGCTAAAGTCTTGACTCATTTTGTGGTTAACCTTTTCTTAAGATAATGAACAAAAATTAGACCAGTTTATGAAGCACATTCAAAACCAACATCATGTTTTTTCCATAATATCAATATGTACACATGCATACTATCACCGTAATTATTTGTTCTGTAGGATTAATTGAGATACTAGTATAATCCAGGGGGGAAAGTAAGTTTACTCATATCCAGACTTACTAATATTTTTTAAAATCATTACTTTTCTGGAAGTTTTAGTTTTAGTTTTAAACCACTGTGAATAGTGGCAGGAACAACTTTCACAGGATTTTTGTCTGAAAACAGGTAAAACATATTTATTTATTTGTATTTATTTATTTTTAGATTTATATCCCGCCCTTCCAAACGGCTCAGGGCAGCTAACATACGGCGAAAGCCGGATTAAATAGATAAAATACAATAAAACAGTGTTAAAACAACCACAATAAAACCCATACAATATTTAAGGTGCTCTGATGTCATCCTATATGTAAATCACCCAAGATGGGAACAATAATCCCAATTCGGCGGGCAGCTGTCTCCAGCGACAATGTTCTACGCACTTCTGCCAGGCGATGCTTACCTCCCATAACAATACCACGGTGGTGGAATAGTGGCGGCGCACTATTAAAAGGATCTAAAAACATTCCACACATCAGTACTTTTCTTTAAACAGATCACTTCAAAACAGATCACTTCTTTAAACAGATCACTTCAAAATTACAGTGTTAACATATACAATACTCATAAGGCTCTAAAAAGAAACTCAGCTTCTGTGAGATTTATCCACTTTTCTTCAAACATTTTTCTTCAGAGTTACAAGATAGGTCATCACCATTTTAGTATCATAAAAATTATTCGTTGTTACAAATCAAAATGATCCAAATCTGCAGATTTGTACGAAGATGATGACTGAAAATAGTGAAGCTCAAGGAACCAGGGATTTTCATTTTAAGTGTATTTTCACTCAACAAAATTCCCAGTATCTTTTAGACCTATTTTAGGTTAAGCCTCAAGGGCCTTTACTTTTTCTTTGGGTCGTAAATGATTTAAAAGTCTTGTTTATCTATTATACAGTGACATGGTGCTGAATATGTAGAATTCCCAGGTTTTTCCGATCTGGCTTCTGAGTAAACACAGTTAGAATTGGGATATTACTTTGTTACTGTGTTTGGACAATCTTGGTCTTTTTCTGGAGAACTCTTACCTTTGGTATGTACTTATAGGGTGCAGAAGTGTGTTCCACCAGAGCAGGTCATTGCAAGACTTAGAGCAAAAACGACTGGCACTTGAAGAGTACATTCTGCTGAGAACACTGCCTCCACAATGGAGGACACACCATGGAAATAGACAAAAGGGTTGGGGTCCAAGCCTATATTTACAGGGTGTCTGTATTGCTGAATAATGTTACTGTAGGCCGAGATTTTAAAAAATCACATCTATCCGATGAAGTGGGCTGGGACCCACTAAAGCTCATATTGAAATAAATGCTAGTCTTTCACGTGCCACTAGATTTTTTGCTTTATTGAGAATCAAATGAACATATCACCTTGACATACCCCCCCCTTTTTTTTTTGCCTCTTTAGCTTCCAGTGGTTAAATTCATATCTCCATCAACTGGCCCTAAAGCAGGAGGAACCAAAGTAACCATTGCAGGGAATAATCTCAATGTGGGGTCTGAGCTGCACGTTCTGGTCAATAGCACAAAAGAATGCAGAGACCTCAGGTAAGCGGCTGCCTCGGGGTGAATGATAAGCTCTACTATGAAAGCACATCTGATGCTAACTCTGCTGTCTTTTAGGCACCAGCTCAGATCAGTTTTATTCTCCTGAGCTTTGAGCTGTTGTTACTGGTGTTTTATTGGTTAGATGGCTGTTGGGGTACACGGGGAGTAGGCAGAGAGGTCACAATGAGGACCCTACAATTTACAAGCAATTTAGTACACTCTGGGGAAACTCCCCCCCCCCCGGGAGATGTTTCCAGTGTTCCTCATGAATTGCAAGGCCCTTTCCAATCCATGCTTGTGTTCATCACTGTTATAAATAGGTACAGACAGGAATCAGAGATATTTTCTGCACCTGTTCATCTATTTTACTCAGCAGCTTGTTGTGTCTTTTCTTTTCTAGTCGTACTGACACTACCATTACTTGCACTATGCCAGGTGTGGAGATTACTACCACCGTGAGAGTCTGCGTCCAGTTTGAGAACAAGTCTTGCATCAGTGATAACTGTACTTTCACATATGAAAAAAATCCAGTTATTACTAATATCAGCCCTCAAAAGAGTCAGGTCAGGTAAGCCATTCTTCTCCTCTCTGTGCTAGCAAAGGTGGATGAATCCTCTAGAAACTGACAGGTCTTAGCAAGAATTTGCAGGAACATCCCCATTCAGAAGAATGGTGGAGGGTTTGAGACTGTATATTCACAGAGGCTGTATGTTCCCAGGGCTGGAATGGTAAAACAGATGAGTTATACTGCCATCGACCAGCATCCTGGTTTCAAATGGCAGGGACAACAGCTGGAACATTGATGGAAAAGGAGAACTTGACTGATCACAGACTAGAGCCCATTTTCATATCTAATCTTTCACAGTGATGATGGTGAAAAAATATAGCTTTGTTGCCACTTTTATAGTTGCCCAGTGGTTTGTAGTGGAGCTTTCCTAAATGGTTAGGGGTTACACACTGGCTGTCGGGAAGAGGAAGGAGTGAGCTGAGTAACCCACAGTGACATTTATGTTAAACATTTTGTGGAAAAGATAATTTGCATCTTCTCCAACTTAGACACAATTGTTCTTTTGGTTGACCTGAGAGGTACTGCCTGTTCTATATTGTCCTATATTCAGGGCTCTTTTTGTAGAAAAAGCTCAGCAGGAACTCATTAGCATAATAGGCCACACCCAACAGCAGGAACTCATTAGCATATTGGGCCACACCCCTGACCACACAGCTCATTAGCACATTAGGCCACACCCCCGTGTTACCAGAAGTGTGGTTATCCAGCCACACCCACCTTTTGCTTGTTATTCTGTTTACCTTGTTTGTTGTCAAAACCCAGGGCTTTTTTGTAGCAGGAACTCCTTTGCATGTTAGGCCACACACCCCTAATGTAGCCAATCCTAATGAGTTTCTGCTGTTGGGAGTGGCCTATTATGCTAATGAGTTCCTGCTGGGCGTGGCCAACTTGGGAGCCAGCCAAAACTCCATGCCTGTGCGTTCCTGCCCAAAAATAGCCCTGCCTATATTGATGAATATGTCTCATTTTCTGCTACCTGAGAGTGTCATTTGGTGGGATTCTGCTTCATGTGCCACCGCCATCAAGTTTTTAGGCCATTTTGTTCTGACTTTATCCTGGATTCCCAGTTTGATGTGATGATAAAAATGTACTTTAATAAGGTATACTTAATAAATTAGATTATGATGTAAGATGGTTTGGTGGGATTTTATACCAAAATGGATAGAATTATTTTAATAAATAAAACTACGCAGAGGCCTTGAAGAACTCTTGTTCACTATAACCTAGCTTTCAGCAAGCATCACTCAAATCCTAACTAATAATGGGAAAAGAATGTTGGAAAGGATATAGAAATTCAGGCAAATACCACATCAATATCATGTTATTCCGACTTGCACTGACTGCTGATGCAAGAGATAACAGTTTGAAATTCCTTACTGAAAAGAACCCGTGAGGTCAACATTTTTAATTTTTAAAACATGTTGCTCTCCTTGAAGCCCCTGGGGGGCTTCTTTTCCTTTTTGAATTTCTCCAAGAAGTCACTCATCCTTACTGCAGACTTGAAATGTAACAATGTGATATGAACAAAGACATTTGAGAAACCAGAAAGTGCACCTTCAGCTCAAATTGCTAAGGAAGTGCATATTAACAACCAAGGCTTATGCAGTATTCTCAGCAGAAACCGTAATTTTGTAATCACAAAGGCCAGAACCAGATTATGAGATGAGAGGAAAATGTTGGCAAATGAGCAATGGTAATACAGCTCGTTTTCTGTACCAGATGTGCAATTCTATCAGTCAGAGCTGCATCTAACTGCAATACTAAGCTGAGCCTTTGTAAGTCCATTGACTCCAGTTGACTTAGAAGGGTATAACTCTGCTTGGGACTACACTGCATAATGCACAGTGATTGCTTCAGAACATAACAGTTCATCGATGAGAAAATCCAAGCTTAGGCTTTGAAATAAATGCCATTTCTACTTTGTTACTGTGCATAGTGCTGCTGCTGTAGCGCATCCAAGGAAGGCGTAGGAATTTGTCCTGTAGGATTCCATATGATCACTTCACCTTCCCTTTGGCAGCGTCTCATTGCTTGTGCTCATTGTGGGGCTGCAGTTTTGCTCATCAAACTGATAATTGGATCTAGCACGACTTTTCTGCAATGATCAAATACAATTCAGATGGAATTTCTTCATGGAAGCCATAGACCACAAACAGTGGCATGAGCTTCAAACACCCTATGAATATGCATAGCTGCAGCATACTGAGAATTTAGAGAGGCCTAAATGACTTGTGAACGCTCTGTTTATAAGAGCCCTGTATGCTAAAATCTCTGGTTTTGAGTGTCTTTTGGAGGCAAAGGGGATAAATCACTCTCTCTCTCTCTAAACTCCCTGATGAGCTACCTGATGTTGCAATATAATTAAAGCAAGTAGAACATGAAATGGTTGAAGTAATGAAAGGCCACATGCAGGGTAAAGTCTGGATGTAGTTTCTGGTAACCAATGGAGACAGGCCACTCCTCCCTCAGCACCAGTTACATGTGCTAGAGCCATCTCATTATTTTCTTTAATTGATTTCATATTTGTGGTGCCACATTTAGCATTCCTCAGGCAGCTTGCCGGGAGGAGAGAGAAAAAAACCCCTTGTCCAAACCTTTTCACTGTTCAACTGCAAGTGTTTGAAAGATTTGGGATTCTTGTCAGTACAATTACTTGGTAGTGTTGTTTTCAGTGATAAAATATGTTCAGTTTGTCTCCATTCAAGCTTGATGATGAAATGGTTAGTTTATTAATAATTAGCTTACTGATTCCAGCAAATTATTTTCTTGAAGTCTTTTGGGGCAAACTAATGAAACGTGAGACTTCTTCTTGGGCCCAAGCTATGCATCGCAGACACCACTGATCCATGCTGCTCTGGTAATGTGTAGTTGTCAAGCCCAGGGAGGGTGGTGGGTAAAGAGAATGATAATCTGCGTAGTCAAGCCAAGAGTCAGGCAGCCAGAGGGTCAGAGACAGTCAACAAATCCATGTGGCATAGCAGAAGCATAGTCTAGCCAAGAGTCAGGCAGCCAGAGGGTCAAATCCATGTGGCATAGCAGAAGCATGGCCAAGAGTTAGAAATCCACAAGGCAGTTCAAGTCAGAGGCAAGACACAAAATCAAGGAGGCAAGGACCAGGATCAGCAGAACTGGTGTAATCTTCTCACTGCAGACAGGTTGCTCTGACTGAAAGGCCCAGCCTAGGAGCAGCAGCTTTATTCTCCTAGGTTGGACCCTTCAGTCAGCTGTTCCCAGCAGTAATCATGAGGTACCTCCAGGCAGGATGTGCTTCCTCCATTGACTACCTCTTGAGGAAGATGTTGTGATGCAGATGAGAATGGGCTACCACCAGCTCTCTCTGAAAGGAAGCAGCTTTGATGAGGGTCCACAGCTGTCGGCCTCAGGATCTGAATTGCAGTGCCATAGTGCCTGACAATAGTTAGGAAAAATGTGATGTCATTGCATAAATGCTTCCCAGTGACATAGAAAGGAGGGTGGGGATTCTAACATACGGGCAGCTTCCCCTCCCCTTAGCTACAGGTTATCAAGGGATGGCATTCTTAATGTGAGGCAGGGCTTCCAAAAATAGCATAAGCAGAAGTACTAGATTTTCTTTCATTCTTCCTGTCTCTCGAAGTTCAGTTTTATGTGTGCTGTGACCGGGCGGTGTACATGGAATGCTAATGCACTTCCTTTTGGATACGTGTGTCCCCATCCTGACTGAGAGTTCTAGGTGTAACAGTGGCCCCTGTTTCATAGTCTCTTTTCTTTTGCTTTTCTTTCTAAGCAAGAACTTTGAGCCTTTATGCCCCCGGATTTCAGAAGGAATAAGCACTGCAGCCAAGCCGTCTTTCTTTGTTTTCATTTGAGAAGGGTAGAACAGATGGTTTGTGTTTTGCCTCAGGAAGGCTTATGTGACAAAACTGGAGAACTGCTGAGGTAGCACATTGAGAACTTCATGCATGTTCCTGATTAGCCTGTCATTAGGTAGAAAGAAAGCAGACATATATATATACGCGCGCACATACGTGCACACATACACACACACAATAATGTATGATTAATATTGTGTCTATGATCTTCTGCCCCAAGTATGCAGAATGGGACAGCTTGGGTGCATGGTTGACTGGGAGGGACAGACAGCTTGGACTTCTAGAAATGGCTAGGCTGCTTTCTGGTAGCCAGTGATACTTAACCCAGGAAACTTGGACAGGATCCACACTGGAGCAGATTTGCCCCACCTATCCAAAGCTTAGCAGCTCAGGGGCTCAGGTAGGGTTGCCAAACTCCGGGTGGCACCTGGAGAACTCCAGCTATTACAGTTGATCTCTAGCCTACAGAGATCAGTTCCCCTGGAGAAAATGGTTCCTTTGGGGGGTGGACTCTATGGCAATTATACCCTGGTGTCGTCCCTCCCCTCCCCAAACCCAGCCCTCCCCAGGTTCCACCTCAAAAATCTTCAGGAATTTCCCGACCCAAAGTTGGCAACCCTGGGGTGGTGACTGGGATAGGTGTTCCTTATCATAAATGCTGAGGTTTTAATGAGTCAGGAACACTATGGTTGACTGTCCAAACTCCTAAAGCTAGGAGGAGGTAGGCAGATTAGCCTGTTCTGGCTTTATATATATATTAGCATAGGGATCCATGCTAGTGGGGTTTAGTATGGTAGTTAAGTGGTATTTACCTGTTGGAGACCTGGTTAATTTATAAAGTTGTAGCTTGATCCATTCAAGGCTGTGTCTATCTCTTCCTCATGTCCACATTCAAAGGCTGGTTTTCGTGTCATTTTACCCATGCACATATAAATCTATAACATGCACATACAGCAATGCTTCCTTCCACATGTATTAGCCCAGTACCAATAATCCCATCTGGCCACCACTCCATGCATATTAGGGTTGCCAAGTCCATCTTCCACCCCCAGCGGGGGACTTTGGGGGCGTTCCTGGAGGGGGCGGGGCATCCCTGACGTGATGACATCATGTTGGGGACGTCCCCCCCCCCCGCCCGTGCGCCAGATCTCCAGAAACGGCAGTTCCCTGCACTTAAAGGAGCTGGTGTTTTCCTTTTAAATGCAGGAGCCGGCGTTTCCCCTTTAAGAGCAGCCGCGTTTCCCTTTTAAGAGCACGAAGCTGGCATTTCCCTGCAAGCTTGTGGAGATCAGGCTTGGGAGGAAACACGGGTTCCACACACTTAAAGGGAGAGAGATGGGTGGCTGTGGGTGTTGGGGGTGGGGCTTCCCCTGCCTGCCATCTGGCCGGCGGCGGGTAGAACCCCCCCAAAACGGGGGACCCCTGGCAAAGCGGGGGGGTTGGCAACTCTAATGCATATAAGTAAGCATGCGTATGCTGTTGGTTACTGGTACTGCGCTAAGTGGAACCACAAACTTCAATCGGTACGAAGCTGCATGTGTTTTTCTGTTGGTTCATCATACTGCATGGGCAGTCCCACATGGGAACTGTGCTTGCACATATGCAGGTCTCATGAGTGACTGCAGCAGGTGAACACCTAGTAAACATCAGTTACGGGTAACTGCATTTTGTATACTACTTTGAATAACAGATGGCCCATTTCTCATCTGATTTGTTACCTTTTTGTTTCTTTTAAGTGGAGGCAGGATCATCACTGTGGAAGGAAATGGATTTTTGATGGCTCAGAATGTGTCTATGGTAGTACCTGCCATTGGGAAAGAGCAAACCGTAAGTCTTTAACCCTGGAAAGGAAAGAACACAGTTGATAGAGGCATAAAGTCAAATGGGGAATGGAGGACAAAGTAGAGATGCCACTGGGAGGGGGAATACTGCTGCTGACAGCTACCTCTGTGGAATATGTTTTCTATAGTCATTGAAAACAATATTCAGTCAGGTGCAAAAGTTCCTAACATATGCTGCAGTCCCGCATTACATTATGTGCATTTCAGGGTCAATTCATATGTTAATTGAGCTTCATGGGAGCAGCTTCTGCATAAATCTTTTCCATGCCATTCTTGTACTGTTTGTAAGAAGTAGTTACATATGCCAGATGTTTAACCCAGTTGTTTCTGATGCCAGTGTGGCTGATATCAATGGGGCAACTGCATGCTAATTGAAGTATAAGTCTCCAGGCGCTGGCATTGTTCTTCTTCCTCTGAATCTGAATTGTTAGGAATTATGAACCTGACCATCCATTTAGATTATCTTCAGCACCCTCCTCTGTCTCCCTTTTGCTGACTGAAGTCAGGGTTGGGGTGGCTAGGCCAGCGTCACATCAACAGGGCAGTGCTAGCAGAAGACTCAGAGAGGCTTTCTCAGTGGCAAAACCACAGTTACAGAATTCTATTCTCAGAGATCACTCAATCCCTTCTGGCTTTTAGACAGTTAAAATAATTCTTGCTGTGAGGACTTGTAGATAATTTAATGTCTGATTAATGTGTTTCTTAACTGTTTGGATTGCTGGGCTTCAGGGAATTGTGCTTTTATAAGTATATCGTAAAGTCGGGTGATTAGTAGGATTAGTGTTTTACCAGTTTGTTGTTGCTTTGGATTTTTTGTTGATGTTTTATTATTCATTTTTGTTCTGTGGCCCTTGGGGCCGAAACAAATACTCTGAAAATATAAATGACATGTTGCGTAGTCATAAGGTGCAAATATAGATTTGAAAAACAATTTTCCTTGTTACTCAAGCAAAATGACTGTTCGACATAATATTCAAAAATTTAGTAGACGCTAAAGGTGTCTAAGCTCTTACCATCAGTAGTGAATTTCTGTGAGTTTTCCCCCTTCTCGTGAATATTGCTTTGGCCAATGCAGTATTCAGGTGGTTGCAGGGCTTTTCTGAGTGGTTAGAATGGTTTAAATTTTTATGGTTATGCCAATTAGGTACATTGTACCGCTCTTGTTAGCCGCCCTGAGCCTGTTCGCAGGATGTGCGGGGTATAAATGTAATAAGTTAATAAATAAATAAATTAGAGTATGAGGGACTAGAATTGTGGAGGCCCAGCTGTGCATCTTACTGAAAAATTTCAGGCCAGTCATTCTCACACTGTAATCTACCTCATAGGGTTATTATGAGGATAAAATGGAGAAGGGAGACCCATGTATGCCACTCTAGCCTTTTTAAAGGATTGGAAATGTCATAGCAGAGTTCTGAAGGCCTGGGGAAAAACCTGGGAAACTTCAGAGAAATGTGTTATGTTGTGTTTTTGGAGGGCTTCTTTCAGTTTTTGCAATAGAAAAATTAACAAACTTTGGGGAGTGCTGGGAAAAAAAACTATGCAATATGAGTATGTTTTAAATAAGTGAAAAGGTTTCACTCATTCAAAATGTATAGCCAGTTTTTCCATTGGTTATTGGGAAATTTTGGCAGGGAGGGTGGGATATAAATTGAACTAACTAACTAATAAATAAAAACTAGAAAAAAACTTTAAATGAGTGATATATTTTTTAAGATGAAGTTTTATTCCTCAGAATACATAGCATTTGGAAATTTGGGGGAGCATTAAAACACTCTTGGAACATATTTTTGTTTTGTATAGATTAAATGTGCTAACATGGCATAGCATGCAGCTGTTTGCAGCTTTCTCTTGCTTTGCTATTGGGTATATTTGCAATTTTGCTTGTAAATTCCATAAATATACCAAATAAAATTTTATATGCCAAATTATAAATTATTCTTTTTTTGTTTTTAAAGCAGCAAAATAGGTTCAGGCTTGATAGGAAAGTTAGTATACCATGTTTCAGTTTCCCCAAAATTTCCATTCTTCCCAGCCACCCATTCCAAAAAAGTGGGGGAAACAGGGTTCCCCCCCCCCATGGCTTCAAAATTTCCAGAAATATTATATCCCTGTGTAATAGACAGATTTGTTATTTATACCATTTGAGCTTATTGGTATTTGATGTGCATGCTTTTTCCTGCTTTCAGAACTGTAAGGTTCACACCGACACTGTGATTACCTGCCCCTCTCCAGCTGCCTCCAACATCACTATGGGGAGCAAACCAGCGCCAGTGGACTTCTACATCAATGGACGCCTGTATGCTGAGGACAGCCTATTCCCACTTGAACATCCAGAGGATGCCATACACATTAGCAAATTCCACCTGGAATACTATGCAGACCCCCAGTTCTTCACAGCCAAGAAGGAGAAGTGGATCAAACACCATCCTGGAGAGCCTTTGACACTCGTCATACATGTAAGAGCATAAGACTGAGAACCCCAGTTAAATAAACAAGGAAGTCAGTACAAAGTAGGATTGAATAGTTTGACCAACAAATAATATTAATAGTAGACCACATGTCCTGTAGAATGTCCTCATTAAATGCCATGAATGTCAGAAGCAATACCAGTTGAAAAACACCCAACTATGAGCAATCTAAGCATCCCCTACCCTATTTCTCTCTCACAACATTCATAAACAGGCTTATGATTTTTTAAACAGCTATCATTTGCTGTGCAGAATTAAAAGATCAAAAGCATTTCCACTAGCCCATAAGAGTTTTGGGCTCTGATGTGTTCCCTTTGGGGAAATGGAATTTATTTTTTATGCTGTCCTGAAAAACTGGAAAATGGCAACTGAAAGAGTAAGATTTGAGAACAAACACATTGGGACTTGGAGTTTAGTGGAGCTTCAAGACGTGATTGGTATGGGAAGAGCAGCATTTATTCAGTAAGATAATCACTCTGTTCTCTGTTTTGTTATTAGAAAGAGCCTGACAACCTTGGCCTGGAAAGCAATGAGTATGAAGTTAAAATTGGTCTAATTTCCTGTGAGATACAAATCGTTTCAGACAAAGTCATTCACTGCTCCGTCAATGAGTCTTTCAGCACTTCAAAAAGACAGCTCCCTGTTACGGTAAGTGCTAGAAGCCCGAAAGGATTCGCTAGCATGTATGTAATCTGTGTCATAGCCCATTTGCAGCTCAGTGGTGGAGCATCTGCTAGGCATGCTGAAGGTCTTCGGTTCAATCCTTGGTGTCTCCAGTTAAAAGGATCAGTTAGTAGGTGATGCATAAGACCTTGATCTAGGCTCTGGAGAGCTGCAGCCAGACAGAGTACACAGTACTGACCTTGATGGACCAGTGGTCTGATTCAGTGTAAGGCACCTTCATGGTATCATGTGGCAGTCTGGCTTCCATCACAGTGTCTAGGCATCCAGTACGGAGGAGAACCGTTTTCATTTTTATGAAAGAGGAAATGTTATGTCTTTTAGATAACGTCAGCTTGTTGAACATAATGTCCGCTAAGAGCTCTAATGGGAAACCTGAAAAGAGGAGACCTGAGCATCACACATCCGATTTCTCATTCCCAATAACTGCTATTCCATGTATAGCTGGGATGGAGTACCCAGCTTACTATAAGTAACATCACTGCTGAAATGTATGCTGATGCTGATTTGAGTTTGTGTCCAATAAATCAAATATGGTTTATTTATTAAATCAAACATGTGCATTGGGTTGGATCCTGTGAGTGTGAGGATTGGGAATCTTTCCCTTGTCCCCCTTCCGCCAGCAGATATGTCTGACCCAAAAAAACCTTATTCCTGTGTTTGAGGGACCTGCATGGACCAATAACCACATGGGTTGGAAGGCTGCACTGTAGAGGGTGGAAAGTGGGTAAAATCACAGAGCTGTACTGTCGAAAGAGGCAGGAGGGATGATTTTGTCCTTTCTTCACTTCAGCCTTCTCCCCCCCCCCCCGCTATTAGTCCGTGCAGGTCCTTCAGCCTTGGGAATCAACATTTTTGGATTCAGAAAAGACTATTGGGGAAGGGAAATATGATCCACATCTGTCTGAACCTTCTGTGGGGGATCTTGGGATCCTATTCGGTATCTCTATATAAGTTTCCACAATGTCCTTAATTGTCAGCATATCCATACAGTTTTGCAAGTAATAGAACCTTGGTTTTTAAAATTGCAGTACAAATGTATTTATGCTTAATCATTTAATAGCACGCCAGAGAATTCTGGTAGTATGGTCTTCTGCAGTAGCAGAATGAGCTGTTCTAACAGAAGTACTGGATCGTTGTGTGCATGCAAACAGATAAGTGCGAAACATTTTCAGTGGTAGACATAATTGTAGAGATCTTCTCAACATCCTCTCCCTATTAAATGCCCGTAGTTAGTGGAAGGGAATAGGAAAGGGAAGATTTAGATACTGAAGCCATCCTTATAGAAGTTCAGTGTGAAGATGTAGATTCATTGAACCTCAGTGCTTTGTATCTTTTCCTCACAAGAGTGAAGGTTTGCCATTCACAATTGTGGGTTAAATGAAAAGTACACTTAGACCAGCAGACTTGTATGGGCAAACTATAAGTGGGCGGTAGCTGGGAACACCAGATGAGGGTTTTGCCTTTCTGTCACACTGTCCCCCAGGGCATTGCATTCCCTTTTTCTATAACAGTGAATGGCTGCAATTCCTTTATATGGTAAAAAAGTATAGGAGTGGCCTGAAGGTTTATAGGGCAGGAGAGCTAAATCTGCTTCTGCCCCTCCCCCGTGACCCATCGTCTGTGGTGGAGTACATGCTAAGCTTCCTCTCAACTGTGACTTCAACTGCAGTCCATTTACTTTATCTTGGGTTCCTTTGTCATCCTAGAGCTTAATGATAAAGTGTGGCAGAGCCTTGGAAAGAGGTACAGATAACGGAGTTGGTCACAAAAGAAAGAGATTGCCCTGCAGGCCAAGAGTAACAGGAGCCCATTAATGACTGTCTGGTGGCATCATGTCAATTAAGAAGCAGCTGGCTCTGCTGAGGATAAATAAATCAAATGAAAACAATATTAGTTATAAGACCAAACAAGTTCCCAGGGGCAGTAATATAGTGTTGAATTGGGACTCCTGTCCATCACCTAATCCTTTCCTACCAAAACGTTTGCCCTTCTTTCAGCTGTTTATAGTGAATTTGACAGTGCTCAGTAGTTTATTATGAGTTGGCACTCTTGGGCTGCAGTCACACAAGCAGTTTGCACCGATATAGCTGTGTTACCTTTGCAGATTTAAAGAGCACAATCAGACAACAACATCTGCCTTCCGTTCCCCAGTTGTTGGCATCCCCACTCTGCCTTGCTTTGGTAGTGGAGTAATCAGGCACTGGTGAAAGTCTGGTATTCCAGTGCCTCCACTCTGTGTTTACGGCTGTCTGAACTTCCCTCTTGAGACGTCAAGCTGTTTGGGAAGTTTGAACCTTCCCTTCCATTTCCGCTTCCTTTTTTTCTTTTCTTTTTCTGGATCAGGTAGCAATGTTTGCATAACTGCATAGCCACCCCTGGCGTTGTCAATCACCTTGGCCCAGTAGTCATTCTGGATCGGGAGTCCCTGGGGGAGTTGTTTTTGAGCAACAAATCCCCCCCAACCCCTCTCTCCATGATTGACACAAGGGTAAATGCACTGAAGTCAGTAGGGCTACTTCATGTAAATCTGTACTTTAACCCCCCCCCCATGTATTCCACGGAAGAGAGGCAAAGGGAAGGAAGCTGAGAGGGACCGGAGTACTTGGCAGAGAGATTGTGGAGCTGTCAAAAAGGAGCTGGAGCTTTGAATACACACTTATGCACATGGGTGAACAAAACAAAACAAAAAGAATGCCGCAGCAATCTGAACTATGGGCCATGGGGCGAGCACGCAGTGAAGCTGGCTCAGGGTGGGATGTCTGATCAAAACTTCCCGCATCTATTTAAGCTGCCGCAAATAGAGGCACAGCTGGATCGTGCCAAGCCTCCAGTGTGACCGCAGCCTTCCTGTTGTTTTTGATACGGGAGCTGAAGTTGATGTGCTAGGTATTGTAGTCAAGGTGTGCTGGTAGAAGATAGCATTGCAAAAGTTGGTCCATCCTGTCATTAAGAAATCTGTTCTCGGGCTTGACTTTTGTGTGTGTTTTCTCTCGCCCCTCATCTATATTTAGACCCCCAAAAGACCAAGTCTCAAGTGCTCATATCACATTCAGGGAGGTTTTGCAATTCTTTACACACTTTCTTCATTTGCGTTTGTGCTCTTTATAAGCCTTCATTTCTGGGGGTTTTCCAGACTGTGTCACTAATTATATTCCTTTCTCTGTAGTTTATTTTATATTCTGTATGTCCCTTGGCTTTTTATGAAGGAGTGTAAAGCTGTTCACACTTTAAGACAGGTGGAGAGATTCTATGCAAGGCCTGACAACCTTTAGCTTTCTTTCTTTCCTCACTTCCAAATCCCAGTTCCTCTTTTTTCCAGTAAATGTGTTATTATTAAATTGGCAGGAGTATGAATGGCTTTCAGGGAGAGAGAAGGAGCCTAGTGGGACTTGAGAAGCCTGTGGCCAAATCTTCTCCAGAAGTAGAGCATTTCAAGAAACATGGGATGGGAAAGTCCCCTCACTGTAAAATCAACGCCCAGGCCAAACCGCTGGACCTAGAGGCACCAAATTCGGGGAGAGTGCTCCTACCATGGCGTAGGTGCTCGCTAAGAAGGATTTTTAGAAATTCGACCCCTAACTGGGTCAAAAGGGGGAAAATGTGCTCCCCCATTGATTCCTGTGTGAATCCCTGGCAGCTGACTCTCTGCACCCCCCACTCTCTGGTTGGTCAGCTGCAGAGCTCAGTGTTCTGAGGTAAAAAAACCCCAACAGTTACAGAGGACTGCAGACAGCTAATGACAGTTGAGGAAATCAGGAGTGGCCAAGAACACCTGTGAGGTGAAGCTAAACTGCTGGCCCAGCCTCTCTGATGGCTTCCAACACACTCCACCAACCTCCTACACCTAACAGGCGGTTGTCTGTCAGGTGCAGCACCACCTCCACAGTGGCTTCTAATACTCCTCCCCTCTCCCCCTCCTACACTGGACAGGCAGCTGCCTGTCAGGTGTAGGAGAGGAGATGGGGTGGCTTCCAACACACTCCCCCCACCTCCTACACCTAACAGGCAGTTGTCTATCAGTGCAGCCCCACCTCCACAGTGGCTTCTAATACTCCTCCCCTCTCCCCCTCCTACACTGGACAGGCAGCTGCCTGTCAGGTGTAGGAGAGGAGGTGGGGTGGCTTCCAACACACTCCCCCCCACCTCCTACACCTAACAGGCAGTTGTCTGTCAGGTGCAGCAGCAGTTGCAGTGTGCTTAAAGCCACAAGGGAGCCTGTCCCTGCAGTAACGCCTTAGTGATCCTACCACCCCTGCCTCCACAGTGGCTTCTAATACTCCTCCCCCCTCCCCGTCCTAAACTGGACAGGCAGCTCCCTGTCAGGTGTAGCAGAGGAGGTGGGATGGTTACAGCCGCCGGGGAGGTTTGCTCAGCAGGATTGCTTTAGCACTGCTGCTGGCTCAGCCTCCCCGATGCCTTTAAACACAGCCCCCCCAACACCAGACAGGCCAGTGTCTATCAGATGTAGGAGCAGGGCCAGGGTATGAATGTTTATGGGGAGATAGTAAAGGATATTTCTAGGAGCCATTTTGATGCGTGCCTCCCTCATGAACCTGAAGAAATGTCCACCACATCACCACTCTCTCACAGCAACTCCCCCTCACACCTCTCACCTCTTACTGCCCCCAAGAAAGGCCCTGGCAAACATCGAGCCAGATACACCAACGCTACAAGAAGGAGGCAACTTAGGAATGCGGCAAAAACATTTGCACATAGTACTCCTGCAGTGTACTGAGCTGCACAGTCCGAGTACCAGCAAGATCACCCTGAGGTGCTCAGAACAACACAGTCTCCATATGAGCAAAACAATCCAGGAACACAAGTAGAGAGGCCATTCGTGGAACGTGGCAGGAGTTGACTTAACAGACGACTGCTTCTTAAATGGACAGGTCTATGCGGCCTGCTCCAGAGTGAGCTCATCAAGCAGCCCGGTGATCCTAGCTCCTGCGGGCAGAACCACCAGT